CAGCGGGGCCTCGGTCACTGTGCCAGCCGTGGGCCGTGCCACGTGTGGCCAGGTGTTGTGTGAGCCGCGGTGCCTTGGCGTGCGAGCATCATCACCCTCATCCCCTGCTCTGCTGGTGCCTGGTGTGAGCATCACCCTCATCCCCTGCTCTGGTGGTGCCTGGTGTGAGCATCACCCTCATCCCCTGCTCTGGTGGTGCCTGGTGTGAGCATCACCCTCATCCCCTGCTCTGGTGGTGCCTGGTGTGAGCATCACCCTCATCCCCTGCTCTGGTGGTTCCACACAGCTAAAATAGCACATGGGACTGAGCAAGGGGTGGATGGTGGAAGCTCACCTCCAAGTTAAAGGTTCTGAAGGAGTCCAGGGATAAAACATCACCTTGCATGCACATAGCAGTCCAGCTGTGGATTTGCATCTAAGTGTCCCTGTGTACCCGAGGTTTGTTTAGACTGAGCTCTTGAAGGCATGATGTTTATCTTCTAAATGTTTTATAAAGAGAACAGCTTGTTTCAGAGGATAAACAAAAAATACTGTGGTACTGGAGAGGTCATGTACACACTTGGTTTATATCTTGCAAATTCAGTGTGGTGCAGGTGGGCTCGAAGGGGGAAAAGGACCACCAGAAAATAATACAAAACCCGAGCAGAGTGAGAACCAGATTTTCAGGTTTAACAATTAATGACTTTAAAAGTAATGGTGGCCTCCACAGCTATGCTGAGGGACCTGCCTTGCTGTCTCTTAGCCTGCTAAATTTTTTTGGCAGGTGCTGAAGTGTTTTACTCAATTTGTAGATGTAAGGAAACAAACAGGCCCCTGAGGTATTGATTAAAGTTCAGTACTTCTCCTCAGGAGGAAACCTGAGATCGGATTTGTAGAAAGCGTTATGCTTAATATAGCAGTGTAAAAGGCTTTTAAACTACTCTTAATTTCACATTTCACCCAGGAGATGTTTCCAGGATGGATACAGTAGTTTTAATGCACTCATGGTTTCACTTTGAGAGGGACTGAAGAGCTCTGGCTGTTCTGTGACACTCTGAAAAGCATGAACAACTCACGTGAAACGTAGGTGCAGTATTAGGTGTACATTTAGATATATGGAAATGGAAACCCACCCTAAAATAGGTCCTGATGAACTCATCACGTGCAGAGGAATTGGGATTTATGAGCAAAAACTCAAAAGCAGAGAAACACAGAGCAGTAATGGTTTTTCAGAGCACTTTAAATGCTCCTTACTTACATGAAGGGTTTGTTTATAAACCAGTAACTATTTTCTGCTTAATTTGCATAAGTTTATGTAACATTTTCTCTGCTGCTTTAATCTTCATGTGGCCAAAATAATATTAGATCTTCTTTGAAGTAACAAGGGTGTCTTTGAGCACAGCAGTGGAGAGCCCAAACTGGCCAGAGCTTTGGTCAAAATAAGGGATTTACATAGGATTACAGCAGTGTGATACCTCTGTAACTTGTAAAGACTTCTTCAAATGCCTATTTTCTATCGTAACTGCAGATGCTGTTATGCAGTTGTATCACTGCAATCAGTTAAAGGCCTCTCCTTTAATCCATTGAGTTTTTATAAAAACTTTCATTTAGAAAGTGCATTTTGAATGTTTGTGGATATTGGCATGACAAGCAAATGCTATTGGCTTCTGGTGTTGTCAGCCAAATGTTTCCATTTTCAAGCTGGATGAATGGATTTTAGGAGACTGAGAACAGTCACACTTTTCATTGGTAGTTTCATCAAAGAAACCAAACCCAAAACATTTTGCCCACTTAATCTGTCTCAACATTTATTTTTCAAAAATATTTACTCATCTGCTAGAATATTAAAGGATATCCTTGAGGATGCAGCTTTTACATTAGGGAATTCCTAGATCACTGGGGTTATGTTTGCTGATTTGGTGTCCAAAAGAAATCCAGTTAAATTGGTGCAACAGCTTTGTCCAAAAAAGGCCTGTAGTAATAGACTTAATTTTTATTTCGTTTGTCATTTGTTAAGTCTTGGCAATACTATCATTGCAGACTTCACAGCAGAACATAATCCTCCTGGAAAATAGGATCAGTGTTTGCTTCTGTGTAATTTATGTTTTCATTTAGATACTCCCTCTCAGAACAGGCTTTAAGCTCAGTCAGTGCTCCTAGTTTCCTAATCACACATTTTGTTTTATTACAGCAGTAGCCAAAGTGGCCATTAGAGTTAATTATCCTTTTTCTGTCTAAAAGATTATTAAGTCTAGCCAGCAAAATATCCAGGGTCTGGAATTCTGTGTAGTAACAAACCCTTGGAAATCCCACAGAAGACAACCTGTGAATTATAAACAGAATCAATTCACTCCTCAAGATTTGGAGTAACTGTCCAAATTTAGCAGGTTTTGTTTCAAATCCAGCAGTAATGACTTCCTGCTAGAAACTCTTCTTTGAACACATTTGGTGGGGAGCTGCAGTCACCTCCTCATCATTCAGGGCTGTGTCAAAGTAGGCAACTCTCAGATAGCTGTGAGAGAGCCTTTGATGATGCCTGTGCTGAGCCTTTTACCTCCCTGGCTGAAACTTCCTGATGGAAAATACCCAGGTTTACAAAAAGAAAGTGTATTCCTTGTAATTCACTTTCTCACATGGGAGGTTTGACCCACCTGCAGGATTCCAGTTTGTCCAACACAGTCCTGTCATTCACTGGAGCTTGTTTAGCATAAACAGAGATTGTGTTGGTTAATGCATCCCTCATCAGCCTCTTTCCCATCGTTTGTGAGTCAGTATTTCAAAACCACTAATGCTAATTTAAAATTATTCAGCATTTCAAAACAATCCAGCCCAGACTACAGTGCCACAGTAACTCCAGAGTGTCGGTTGTGCACTCCAGCAACTCTGGCATCCCTTGGAAAGGAAAAGCAGGAATGCTAAGCAGCACATCCCAGCTGGTGCTCTTTAACCCCAGTGTTTAGCTGGGGTGGAGCTGCTTTGTTGTGCGGGGTTATTTGCATTGTGTTCAGAGAGCTCCTATTCACTGCGTGGAGCAGGATCCAGACAGGTGGAAAAAGGAGGAGGAGGAGTGGTGAAAGTTGAATGAAGGAGATAACCAGAAGCCAAACTTTTCTTTTGTATTTTGCATTTTATTTGATGAAATGGGCTGTTGTGTCCTTTGTGCTGCTGTGAATGGGTGCCCATCTGCTCCAGCGTGTTTGAGGGCTCTCCTGGTGCCCGCTCAGCTCTTGGCACGTTCAGCACAAACCTCTCCATCAGCTGGCCCAGCCTCCTCCAAACACCAGTAAAGGTCAAGCTGAATTTCAGACACCAGAACTGTCCATCAGTTCTTGAACTTGATGAAGCTTTCATGCTCTTTGCCATAAAAGCCGGTTTAATTTTAGTGCTTTTTAAATTTTATTGGGAATTGTGGGGGCCCTTAAAATTCTACCCATGGCTGGTTTGATTTAACTTTGCTTTAAAAAGCAGCTGTCTAAGGATTCTCTTGGAGTGGTTCTTCCTTAAAGTGGTTGCTGCAGCAGAGCCTGGCTCAAAAAGATAAATTCCCTGCAAAAAGAGAAGGAAAAATATTAGTAAAGAAATTAGAGTTAGAAAAATGTTAGTCAAGTGACTTACTTTAGTAACTGCTTACAGTTAAAAGCTTTTATTGAATTTATATTAGCATATTTATGGAAATTCTTGAACTCTAATGGTTATTGCTAAGTCAGAGTGATGCTCAAACTCAACTGTTTAACAGTCTGATTAAAACTTGGGTCTTTTTGGGGATATAACTATCCCCAAAAATTCTGAACAATGCTGCCAGAGAAATGCAGCTTTCAGGAGACACTACATGAACTGGGGACTGTGTAATTCTGAGGCCTCTCAGAAAACTGTAAGTTGGAGAAAAAGCAGCTTTTTAAAAAAGCTCTACTACAAGGTGCATCAAATGTATGGGTTTGTAACAACCATGGGGATGAGTAACTGTTGGATGAATTTTGTTCAGTTATGTACATTCTGCATGCTCTATTTTATGAGTACAGCTAATGGGAAAAGCTGAGGAATTCAATCCAGTTCCTTGCAAGTGTTGGGTTGGCCCTGATTTCATCTTCTTGGATTTACCCCTGGAACTGCTGCATTGATGTGCTGGGATTCCTCTTGTTCAGGTGCATGGAAAACACTGATGCAGCCAAGAAAAACAGGGAGGTTTTAGTTATTTTAAAAATCAGTGGATTGTATTGCACTGGGGATGGAAATGAATGGCAAATGAGAATCGACCCAGGGCTGGATTTTTAGGCCACTGGAATCTCTCAGAGTCCTGTTGCTGGTTTCCATGGGAAGCAAGGTAATTCATCAGCTGGGATTCGTGGTCACTCCTGCTGAAAATTGAAAGATATCTTTGTTTGCAGACTGGGAATCTGCAATTAGAGTTGGAGTGCTGGACTGTGGGGAAGAAGGGAACTACGAGACGTGCAAAGAATATGGGATTCACTATTACCCAACTTTAAGGGTAAGTGGCAGAACATCTTGCCTTAGGCAAATGATGCATGTTTTATAGTAATTAGACTGTGTACCTCATTGTTCTGTAGCTGGAGTTTTGCTTTACTTTGCTGAGAAAACTGCAGAGTTGATAAGAGATTAATTTGAGGGGGTTTTGTTGAATACAAGAAGTGATGCCGCTGTTTTAAGCAGTAATTCAGTTCTGAATCTGAAAAATTCTTACTGAAAAAAGATACCATTCTGCAAAGTATCATGTTATCACATGTATATAACCCCTAGTTTCAATAGATTTATTAGATAATAACTATTTGAATAAATATTTTTCAAATTCAGATGTTATTACAGGATTATTAATAATGGTTTTAGTTTTGGTGTGTGAAAGTAAACACATCGAAATTGCCTCATGAAAACAGCTGATTGCATGACCAGTTGGAAATTTACCCTTGATGGATCCTTCACTATTTTTGTGATTAATTTCATAATATTTTTCATAATAAAATGCTTAAACTGCCTTTTAAGAAGAATGCCACATTAGCCAAAAGTATCTGCCATTGTTCATTTTTAAGTCTAAATGCAATGTTTACCTTCTCAGTCAGTCTGTATTAATCATTTTATTAAATATGAGCAGAATGTGGTAGATGGAAGGGGTTGAATAAACTACTTGTGATGACAGGAGAGGGAACAGGAGACATCATTTCAATGTAGGATTTGTGATCTTTTACCCTGATAGGAAAACCAGTATTTTAATTTTCTTTTACTCTTCAAAGTTTAAGGTGTAAATCGTGATATCCTCTTTATTAAACACTGAATTTTTTCCATTTTATTTTTCGTAGCAGAAGGCAGCCAAGCTCCCTTAGATCTCCTGTTTAACCACTGGAGGGAGTTGGGAAAATGTGAATAGTGTTCCAAGTACACACACAGTTGGTAGCACTGATTTGGTGATCAGTTCATTTGTGTTTGGGTTAATGTCTGCAGTACAGGATCAATACACACCACTGAATTATGCATTAGTATTTTTCCTCTTGCCCTCAGGTAGGTGAGAAGCAGCTTTTTGGAACTTACAGGCTAAGAGGGAAAACTGTCTCCTGACCAGATATATAAAAATGTTTTGTAGTTAGAGCTGTAAAACTCTTGAAAGCAGTTTTTGTTCCTAAACTGGGCTTTTTTGCCTGATAAGTGACTTTTTCTTTCCTCCCACATAGTACTTCAAAGCATTTACAAAGCAGTTCACAATTGGAGAAAATTACCAAGGTAAGAACATTTTGCTGTAAGAAATTCCCAGAGCAGTTTTCCTGTCGGCCAGGGCTGTGTCTCATAACAAGCAAAATCCCTTTGCCTGTCAATTCCTTTGGACAGGGATGGGGTGGACACTAAATAGCTCTTTAAGACAGAATATTTCAAGTACTCTATGAAGTATTAATCAGAATTTTAGGCAGACAAAACATCTCTTCAAGAACTTAGGGATCACATTCCTATTTTTCTTTTTAATGTAGCTCTTAATTTTCCCAAATGGCTTGTTAATTTTCTTTTAATCCCTTATTTTTTCAACACACTCCTCATCAGCACGAGATCCAATTTGCTCAATCCTGACTCGTGTGCCTTTTGATCCCTCAGCCGCTTTCCAGGCATCCTGAGTTGCACTGGGAGAGCCCTTATTCAGATGGTGACTCCCTGAAAATAGGCTTATCCCAGGGTTTGACAGGATCACAGCTTGAGGTGGTTTGTCTGGGACAAAAGTAATGTTGTCCCTTTCTATGGATGAACATTTAAAAGGCCAGAGGTCAGAGGAGAGACCACCTGCACCATTAACCCTTCCTGTATAAGAGAGCCTTAGTTTTACTTCTTGGGCATTTGAAGTATTTTCTGCTTTCTAATGGAGTTCTTTTAAAGCAAACAAAATATTCTCACACTTGAGCTATTTCCTCCTTTTGTTCCATGGTTTTGTGGCCTCTCCATTTGGTAGGAATGATATACCTTGGCAGATTTTAATTTGTGGTTAACATCCTGCTGAAGTTGTCCATAGCAACTACTGTGAAAATGTTCACATTAAGAATCAAACATTGTTTGAAGAGAAAATCAGCAAGGCAGGCAGATGGATACACTTGGAAAAGTCTTCAGGTTTTATTAATTAGGGGTGGGATGATAGCTTTTAGATATGATCTCACAGCAGCATTAAAATGAAATCCTCCAATTAAATCCTTATTTCTTTTTCTTCAGCCAAATAGTATCCTGGGTTTTAAGTCTGAATTTAGAGCAAAATCCTGACCCAGACCAGCATGAGAAAACCCACATGCACAGCAAACCCTCATGTGAGTCATGTTTTCCCAGTTTTCTGAAGGGTTGTGTTTTTTTGGAACCTGTTCCCAGCAGGAGCAGATCGAGAGCTGCAAACTCTTCGTCAGATGATGATTGACTTCCTCCAGAACCATTCCCAGGAGGTGAGACCTCCTGCTTGCCCACCACTGGATCCAGTGTTGTAAGTTCCTTGTTTTCAAATGTAGCTGCTCTCTCTTTATTCAGTTAATTAAATAATTAGAAGATTAAAAATGCAGTGAGTTTTTTTTTATTACCAGTTCTGCTATGAGATTGTAACAGGAAATTCCATGGGCAGCAGTGGATGTATTGCATTCTGTGCTAAACTGCTTTTCTTTTCTTCAAAGGTCCAGTGATCTCACATCTCTTTTTGACAAGAGCAGCCACCACTACACAGCCATTGTGTTTGAGAGCAACAGCTCCTATGTGGGCCGAGAGGTAACGTGGGCCTTGTGAGGGACAGGGTATGGATGGTACCATAAACCAGCTGGATCTGGGCTTATCTAGCCAAGCAACAGCTCTGAGACTGCAGGTCACACATGCTTGGGGGATCATAAAACCCAAGGATTTTGTAGGGCTGTGGTGTTCATTCACACAGGGGAACTTGGTAACAAAGGAGCATGAAGTCATGTTAACTTCTTCCATTCTTAGTTTAGAGGAAGGTTAATTTCTCAGTTCTGTTCTCAGCACAATTTTCTTTCAAGAATTTGAAAGATTGCAACAAAAATATTGCCAGATTACATTATTGTTTTGGAACTACTGGAGAACCATTTTTAGTACTTGTTCTTCTGGCCAACTGTTTGCAATAATTTAAATTCTCCTGGTCCCTTTCTTCACATATATCTTTTGGAATATTAAGACAGTAGCATAAAATTATTTACCCAGTTGAGAAACACAGGGGAAGTGGATGCCTTTAGGTTTTGCTTCCCAATAAAATATTTGTTTTGGCATCATTTTCTCACCTAATGAGCCTGCTGTTAGCTCAGACAACTGTGGCTTTTCTCTTCTAAGATCTAGAATAAGTGAAAAAAAAAAAAGTATAATTATCCAAGCATGATCTGTGTGGAAACATCCAGTGTCTTCAAAACGTTTCTAATTAGATTTGATGCTGACATGGCTCAGTGTCATGAGTGGAGGAGATTGTGCTGCCAAAAGTGGGAATCACTTTGGGATCAGGCTTTTTCCAGGCATCTGTTCTCTGGAAGCTGCTGTGGTGATGTGAGTGGATATCACTGAAGAAATGTGAAGGTTATAAAGTTCTTCAGCTTTTTATCACCCTCTGTTTTTATTATCTACAGTTAGAGGGGAAGAGAGTCATTTGATTAACACAAAGTGGAGTCTGCTTTCAGAATAAAAAATGTTTGCTAGTGTTACATAATATTTGAGCATTATAGAATAGTTTAGTGAAACAGAAAATAAAATTGTTTTCATGTTTACAACACAAGACAAAATGGACAAACCTTCCCATACTGCTGAAGAGAAGGAGGCCATGTGTCATCACTGATGGAAGGAGGGAGGAAAAGACCAGAATGGACCAAGAAAAAATAAAAGGAAGATAGGAGTAATAATTTCTAGAGAAGAGTAAATCTTCTTTAAGTGAAATTGTTTGTGTGCATGGAGCAGCCATAGCTGCACTTCCTGCAAACAGTTTAATGATGTCCTTAAAGGATGATGCACTTCACCTGCTTATGTGTCTTGTCCTGCAAGATTGGATATTCCTTGAACAATGTATAATTCATGGCATCCTTTCATTACCCAGGTTATCTTAGACTTGGTCCAGTATGAAAACATCGTGGTGAGGAGAGCGTTGAATTTTGATAAACCTTTCCTGGAGAAGCTGGGGCTCACCTCAGTCCCCTCGTGCTACCTGATACAGCCCAATGGCAGCCATGGATTAATTAACAAGTAAGTAATTATCTGTCAGAGGGTTATGGGGAGGTTCACTTAACTTATAAAAATGTCAGGATTTGATGTCCTGACACCTCATCAATACATTGTACTGACTGAAGTTGTGTGTTCCCTGTATTATCAATAAAAGATCTAATGCTGCTTTTACTTACCACTGTTGCCTATTTTTAGCTTTAATTTATTACTGTGATGCTTCTGAAAGGAAAAAAAAACTTTGGGGTAGAAGTGGAAAAAATAAATCAAGCAGCTTAAAAGTTCTTTAAAAAGCCCATTTCTTGTGTAACATCAAATGACATTTGGATAAACATTATTTGTTCTTATTTTGAGCAGAATTTCATACCCCTAATCCAAGTGATTTGTTATTCATAAATTGAACATTATTTCTTTTCACTTTGTGTCAAAACAGGCCATGGTGCACTAGGACTGTAAAACATAAACCAAAGTGAATATCTTATTTTATAAATACAGTTACTTGCTTTGGACATTCACTTAGTCTGAGATTAAAAGTGATCTCTCTTTGTCCATTTGCAGTTTGAAGCCTCTACGGTCTTTCTTTTCTTCATATTTAAAGTCACTGCCAGGTGTAAGGAAAAAGCTCCTTTTGCCACTGCAGCTGCCTGCTCCAGAAAACAAAGAGGAGAACACAGAAATCAAGGTGTGGAAAGAGTTTGATAAGTAAGTGATGCCCTTGATTCTAATAAATGTGGTTATTAAAAATTACCTGCAGCTTTTTCCTGCCATGAGGGAAGCTGTGCTGTCATTTATTATAAAATCCTAGTGCAGTTCCATATTTTGCTTCATTTCACTCTGTTCAGTTCAGTTGTGAGCAGCTTTTCAGACAATTCACAGGTAAAATTACTGAGGTAGTTTTGGTTTAGCAGATATCTGCACTGCTCTGGAAGGAATGTTTTTACCAGAAGTGTTGTGAAATAGTCAATTTCCTTGAAAATACCAAGGGCTTATCACCCACTGCCTGAAAGAAGTGATCAGTGTCCCTGAAAACATAAATGGTAACATACCAAGCTGTAACATGACTGTAGGAAATTCTCTGTGTGTGCAGTAGTGAAACAGTGCCCACTGGAAAGGGCTTGTCAAATGCAAGTATAATAGAAAATACTAAAGTCACTGTAAAAGATGTTTATCACCCCAAATCCTCTGAGGTTTATCTTCACCCTCTTTCCCTCTCTGAGAGAAGGATGCAAAGCCTTTGCAGAGAGATAATCCCTCAGCATCTTTAGATGGAAAAGAAGTGGGACTGAGTGCTTTAATATAATACTTATTTTCCTTTCATAGACACTATTAGTGTCATCTTCTTTCAGTGACTATTATAAAATACTTTATATGGAACACTCTGTTAGCAAAACAACTTAGTTAAATTGAGCTGCTTTCCAGCAAGGCAAAATCTTGACACGAATCTCCACTCCAAGTATCTTCTAAATAGGATCCTTTTGGAGAGCCTCCTGCATTCATGTGGATGTCTCTTTATTTAAGAAACTTGAAGCAGAATTTTGCTGTTGCTCATAATTTAAGTGAGTATTTTATTAATTAAGGAGATAAATTCAGAATAAGTTTGTGTCTTAAATTAAATTATGGATGTAGTATATATGATTATAGATGATTGTGTCTTAATATCTTCTTTCCTGCATGTTATTTAGGAGGTGGAAGAAGCCAGTTTTTTCAATGATTGTTTTTTAATTTTGTTTTTTAGCAGCAATAGTGCTGCTGAACCTCTTACAGAGGTGTTCACTCTGTGAATTTGTGTTTATTCCATTGCTCTGTCTCACACTGCCTGGAAAGGATTGGAAGCTGGGGCTGTGTGCCTGATGCATTTGTACTTTGTAAAGCAGGTTTAGTTATGAAGATATTTGGATGTGAGAAGGAACTTTGAAAATGTTTTATTTGGTTTATATGGTTTACTTGTACCTGTCAGAGCTCTTGTCTTAAGAGCTGCTGTGTTTTAACGCAGAGGTAAAGGACCTGCAGTAAAACTGCTGCATTTTGGAGAGGATTTCTAATTCAGTCCTCTCCAACACTGACATTTTCAGTCTTGTTTGCACCCCTGCCCTGTGCAGAACCCCCTGTTGTTCAGAGCATGTCCTGTTTCTGTTTGTGGTCAGCCCAGCAGAGAAGCTGTAATTTCCTTACACCAGGGCTGTAATTCCATTACAAGGATGGCTAGGAGACAAAAAGTCCAGTCATATAAAAAAACATTTCTCACATGTGGTTGTGCCTCGGTTGTCCAAACTCTGCGTGTGACTCTCGGGCCGAGCAGTCCCTGCTGGGCAGGACTCTGCAATCACTGTGGGGTGGCTTTAATGACATCTCCTCTCATCAATTTTACCCCTGTGAGTGGTGAGGAGAGGAGTGGCAGGAGGCTGCCAGAGCATGCCAGGATTGATGTGTGTTCCAGGTCCAGGCTCTACATGGCTGACCTTGAGTCGGGATTGCATTTCCTGCTCCGGGTGGAGCTGGCCACGCACAAGGCGCTCGAGGGAGCTGAGCTAAAAACCTTCAAGGACTTTGTCACCATCTCTGCCAAGGTAGGCACTTCTGGGCTTTGATTATTTGTGAAGATAAAGTGACTCCACCAGAAAATTTATCATGGGACATAAGTCTCTCAAAATGTCTTGCACGGTGTTTAAGTGCGTGCATCCTCAGTAGCTTAAAAGAGTTTGGTGGGTTTATTTAAAGGCTATTTTTGAGCTATTGTTTGCTGTTCTGGCATACTTACAGGGTTAAAATGCTTCAGTGGGATTAAACTAACATTTGTTTTTCATTCTTGACTTTTGGATTTCATTAATTGCATACTTAGCAAAAGCTGTTCTATTTAGAGATGTTGGTAGCTTCTGTCTGAATTTTGAATATAATTGAGGTACTGATTTTAATTAAATAAGTATTCAAAAATAACTGAACTATTGAATATAATTAAGTATTTAAAAATTAAAAATGCTTATCTGTTACATTTGCAATAAAAGAAAAAATATATATAATGTGATATGACTTGAAAAAATTAAAAATAATTTTCCTTTATAATGCCAGCTTCCTGAAATGACCTATATATCTTTATTTTTACTCACTTTATGGCTAACACCATGTTTTACTTTCGAAAAGTGAATTAGTAACTCTTAAGGGAATAATAAGGCCTATATGAACCATTTCCAACTGTCTGGGTTTATCTGAAAATCAGACAGACAGTTCCTTCCCCAGCCAGCTCCCCCCTGCAGCCATCAGAGGTCAGAAATCTCCAGCTGGCCTCATTTCTTTAAGAAAGTGTGGTGGTAATCTTTCCATCATATTATCCCTAAAACATCCTCTGTTCTTCCCTATGTCTCCTGGCCAGCTGATGCCATTTGATTCCCTGGCTTTTGGTGATAAATGGGCAATGTTTTATTGTAGATGGCTGCTCATGTCCACCTGCCCTGCCCCACCAGGGCTGTCCTTTATTTGCATTTTTTTTTTGTCATGTAACACTTTCCTCATTGCTCTCATTCATATTTTCAGGTGCTTCTGTTAGGAAATTTTTTATAGTGATGGTCAATCCAAAGGTCCAGTCAGAGGTCTCTGATTCCCTGCTCGGGGAATTTTCATGACTGAAATCCTGCTCCCTCTAAAAGGGTCCTACAGAATGGCAGATATTTGACTTAATTCTGTAATAATTCCAACCCTCATTAATGTAAAATGCCATTTCTGCTGTAAAATAATGGCCTTAGCACTGATTTACAGTTCCTCACACTCACCTGCCAGGCTGTGGCTCCTCTAAGTTCCGAGTTAAGGAAGTCCCTGATTCCAGATCCCTTTGGAAATCACTGTTGCACATGAAAAGGAAAATGTTCTTCTGGATAACAACTCCTAAACTTCACAGAAATCTGACTAAAAAGAACTATTCTTTGTGATTGATCTTCAGAAAAGGGGAAGGATTTCAGGCTCTGTTTTTCACAGAGGTGTTTCACTCTGTTTTGAGCAACATTATGAAACTGAATTATCTTAACGTGAAATCCTAGATAATATCAAGTTGTTCTGTAGCATTCCTGCCTGCTTCATTTTTAACATTTTGCACAAAAAAACTTGTGGAATTTTGTGAGCAAAAGCTGGTGTGAGATAAGCTTTTTAGTGAAAGCAGAACAAGTAATTAATTTGCTCATCAGAAAAAAAAAAAATCAAGCATTTTACAGACGACAAAAACATTTGGATAAAGCCAAAAGCATCTCTCTGCTAATGAGATTTGCACTTGAAAATGTTTTCTTCTTTGTTTTGTTGTTTATTTTTAATTTTATTATTTTTGTCAGCTCTTTCCTGGCCGTCAGCCTGTGGTGAAGTTGTTAGAGACCTTGCAGGAGTGGCTGGTGAGCCTTCCATTAGACAAAATCCCTTATGATGCTATCCTGGATCTGGTCAACAACAAAATGCGGGTAAGCTGTTCCCAGTTCCAGCATAAAACAGGGCATTAGGAAAGGATAAGATTCTATATCAGTCTAAGACATCACTTACTGAAAGTGAAATCATTAGCAGAAAAAAAACAACCCACATCCACACGAAGAAATTGAAATGAGAGAATTGAAACACACAATCCTGGCTGGGTTTTATAATGAGCAAGCAATATTTGTTCCCTAATGTCATCCCCAGGGATACAAGATTCCCAGGGGATATTTCTGACTTTGTTGTGCCTCCTAGCAGCAGGATTCTCTTGAATGTCAGAGTTTGAGTGATGGGAAATTTACCCACTGAAATGTGTATTATTCCTGAAGAGTTTCCCAACTACTCTCTAATTCCTTCATGAAATCTGATCCCTCTTTGGCAAAGCCCTGTGGTAGGGTTGACTTAACAATTTCTTCCATATTTCTGTCTGAAATTTGGAAACCTTCTGTGTGGTGTAAGAAGAGGAGAGAGAAGTCTCAGAAACTAAAATCTTGTACTGGATTTCAGGTGCAATGAATAAGGAGTGGGTTTGTTCTAAGAAGAAATAATACTGAATTTTACAGCCAGTTAAGGCTTTTCACTGTAAATCATGTGCACCTTGTGGAGTAAGAGGAAATTTTGAATGTGCCCAGGGGAGCTGGAGCTCTGTCAGTGTTCAGGAATGTTTTTTTGTGTTGTGTTCTTAAAAAAAAAAAAATCTTTACAGGTTAAACTGCTTTGTGTGTTCTGTCAGACTGATTTTAGTAGGTTTGATGTCAATGACTGAGCAATTTGTATCTTGTCCAAAAGGGTTGAGTTTTATGATGATGCTTCAGAGTACGTGAGACATGAGGATTTTTGTTTACGTGAAGCATGAATTCATTAGCAACAAGTGCAGAAAGTCATTTATTGTTCTTTACCCTGGTTCACCTCAATTCCATGTGGGATCAACTGTGCTGCCACACTCAATGGTACATTTAGGCCCCAGAGCAGCACATACCTTAAATACATCTCTTTTTTTGCAGATTTCTGGGATATTTCTCCCCAGGAAAGTCCAGTGGGTTGGCTGCCAGGGCAGCAGACCAGAGCTGAGGGGCTACAGCTGCTCCCTCTGGAAGCTGTTCCATACCCTCACTGTTCAGGCTGCACTGAGACCAAAAGCTTTGATAAACACAGGTGAGCAGCAAATATTTTTTGGTGTGTAAATCCTGCAGGAATCCATTTGTGGAGGAGAGTGGCTGCAGGGCTGCACCAGCAGGGGTCAGAGCTTGGCTGCAGCAGGAAGGTTTGGAAATGTGCTAAATAAAGTGTGTGGCCCTAAAGCTGGCAGTAATAAAACAGAAAAAAAAGAGGGGGGAGGAAAAAGAGAATTTCAAACAAAGAAATTTTGAGCTCCCTGCAAAGGGATGAAAATGATCCAGGTTATCTGAGGTTGTGCTGGGAATGAAATTTGAGGAAAATGAGGTTTAACCATACAGTTCAGTAGCTATAAAAGATGTTCAACCATTAGCTGATCCTTCTGTAATGTTATTTCTTAAATACTGAATGTTATGGCTGTTTGGGTTTTTTTTTTTCAGCTGAATGTACCTGTCATTAATCCCTGCACTGATTTACTACTTTGCCAGCACTCTGTAAAATTGCTCATTTTTAGACTTGCAGCATCTTGTGAAGCTGAGTGTTAATATTCTAGTGATGATTCCTGTTTAAGAAACATGCTGGTTATAAAATCTATTTTCCTCACCCAATGAAAATAGAATTGCTAATGCTAAAATTTTGGTTTTTATTCTTGCCAGGACAGTGCTTTGTTTGGTTACACTTCTATTTTGTTTTCATTTAAAGCCTTTTAAATGTCTTTTCCAAGGAATATGAGAATTCTACACAGACATCATAAAACTCAGAAATTTCAATTTACCAGCTGTTGATTGTATGTTAAAAAGGATTTTATTATTTTACATTATGGACCCATACATTATTTGCAGTCAGAGTGAAAAATCCTTCAAATCTGAATAATTCTCCTGCAGAACAGGCATTTTCTGATAGCAAATCATTCTCTTGTTGATTTTTGTTTCTCTTTGTTTTGTTTGTTATTTGTGGGAGAATAGATTGAATTTCTTCAATTTAGTTCATTCACTGCTTGCTGAGTTTGAGGGGTTTGAGCAATTCAGCAGGATCCTGCATAACTTAAATTTCCCCTTTTAGTCCCAAAGCATTCTGATTAAACCTTAAAAAAAAAAATCTTAATATTTAACTACACAAAATAGCACCTCAAAATGTGTGTTTCAGGCATGAGCCTGAAGTTAAAAATGCATTGTAGAACCTGAGAACTCTTTGGCACAGTTAACCCTGGCTGTAAATCGGGCCAGATATGTGATGATCACTTCTTATGGTGAAAGAATTGGGTCAGTCTGAGACTGTGGGATTATGTCTTGGGAGGTTTTCCTCTCCTTATTGCTTGTTTAAATCCCATCTACTAAAAAGCATGATGTACTCCCTAATCCTTCCCACCACAGGTAGGGTTTTATGGTTCTTGTCCACTTTAAAGATTAGGGTTACCCTGAATTGCAGTAGTTTGGGAGGAAAGAGAAAAGGAGGATTACACAATGATACATGGCAGATGTTAATAGAAGATTCATCTCGGGGCTGATAAAAGAAAAACAAACAAAATGAGCCATTTTGCAATTGTTTTCTTTCTGGAGCAGATGTATTTTTCTTGATCGTCCCCTCTGCTCCAGGGCCTGGCACTCTGGGTGAACTCCCCGTGGCTTTTCTGGATAAAATGATTTTGTTGGGTTATATTTGATACATTTTAATGCTGAATGAGGAAATTTGAACCTGCAGTGGGAGTAGCAGGAGGGATCCAAAGGAACTCAGCACAGGACTGCACACTCCCAAGGATGTGTAAAATCACTGTAAAAATCATTTCCTGAGCACACTTAATTACAAGAAATGTGGTTTTAGGTAACAGGATGCTTTGATGTGAATAAGACAGGCTTGTGGATTTTATAATAAATTATCTAAATAAATAAATATCTTATTTATTAAATAAATAATATAAATAAATTTTAGAATCCATTTAAAATTGCTGAATTTGACAGATTTCCTCACAAAATGAATTTTCAAGGGTGTACCCTTGCACAGGAGAACAGATGAAATTAAATTTGTGTATGAATCTCTTGTTTCTCCACAAAGAGATAATTTGCTGGGGTTTTTTTTTCCCCTAAATACATATTTCAGTATAAATGGTAAAACTGTTCTGCTTGAAATTAATTTCAACTTCCAAAATAATTTTCCAGCCTTTCTTTTAATGCAGTAATTTAATCTGCTTTAATCTCATAGCTTTTATTTATACATGTCTGTTCAATCACAGATATTGAATGGCTGAGGAGAAATTGTTTATTTTTTAGGATTTCCTTTGGGCTTTAAAGACTTCTTTTTGCTGATGTGTTTAAGAATATCCTGTTGTTATTCTAAATAAAGGTGTTGATGACAGTCTTTATATATATTTCCCATATCTATAGCAGATGAGTGCCCTGATAATTTCAGCAGGTTTTGTTGATTTTTTTTTTTCCAGGAAAACAAAGCAATAGTAAATTACTCGTGGTGTTCAGCAGCAGGAGTCTGTAATTTGATCAATCTGCACCATAAAATGTGTTTAATTTGACAAGTGTGTGCTCATGGTAACACACAGGACATTTTTAAATACATTTTGACATAATTTACTGGGTCAATTAAGCATGAATCAGGAATTCTGTGAGACAGAGATGAGACATTAGGATTTCAACAAATTATATCAGATTTTCAAGGCACTTAGAGATGTAAGGAGCTGCCTGCTGACACAGGAAAGGCCAGAAAGTTCTCAACCTGTGCAGGCCTTATCCTCCTGCTGAATTAATTACAATTATCTTAGAATGAAAGTGTGAATGTTAAAGAAAGAATCATGTGTCTGTGTTTATTTTAGGAAGAATTCCTGATTTATTCTGCCAAGTGTTGCTCAGCAGCTGCTCTGTGCATTCAGAGCCTGCCAAAAAAGCCATGGAATTAATAATTCTAATGAGATTGTGGTGCTCTCTAATTCCTCAGAACTGTGGGGTAACAAACAGCCCTCACAGGTACCTTGTGCAGGACTCACCAAAGGGGGTTTGACTCCTGATTTTTCAGTAGCAAAGTCACCATAATTTCAGTGCCTGGGCATGAATATAGAGGTAAATGTGTAATGTAAATACTCAGTTATTGGGCAAGAGCTTGGAGAAAATCTCTAATTCCACAGGAGCTGTGACATACAGAAAGTGTGAATTTTGCATATTTTAACAATTTCACAATGTTCTCTGATAAAAATAATGGCTGTTTTTCATTAAGTTTGGCTTTCCCCTCAAATTTTAAGATACTCTGAAAGGAGAAATGTCACTGTAGAGACCACTTGACTTTTATTTGATTGTGGTGTTCAGGGTAACTTTGAGCACAGTTGTACAGACTGAATGTGTTGTTGGTATAAACAATACATTGATATAAACACTTTAAATTGCAAAAGTGATTCATTTCAGATCAGGTGTCAATTCTACAGAACAAGAATGCAGCAACTTTTCCTTCCCTTCTCCCCCACTTGGCTTTCCTGCTGTTGGAGCTGTGTCTGTCCCTTGTCTTGTAGGTCTTGAGGACAACCCCCAAATTGTGCTGCAGGTGATGAGGAGATACATCCAGCACTTCTTTGGGTGCAAGGCTTGTGCTCAGCACTTTGAGGAGATGGCCAAAGAATCCATGGATTCCGTGAAAAGCTTGGACCAGGCTGTTCTGTGGCTCTGGGAGAAGCACAACGTGGTGAACAACAGGCTGGCAGGTAGGGGAGAGAGAAACACCTGAGACAGCTGGGAGAGAATGCAAAACATCAATCTCAGGGCTGGTTTCTCCTGAGATTTCACCTGTTCCTTGGTGAGGCTCTTTCTGGAGCACAAATCAAAAATTCAGCTGCTTAGCAGTGGATAAAAAATGATTACATTTATTCCTGTACCAGTTTAGGGTTAAAACTTGTCTTTGTTTTGTTTTGGAAAATGATGGCAATTGAACAAGTCTTCCTCAGGATAAAAGAGCTTCAACTTTTGACAGATCAGCAGCTGAATAAAATAAAATTACTCTATAAAGGAAATCTGTGCTCCCTCCATATCCCTGTGTTTTCTGTGTTAGACTGAAAGTGCTGTTAAAATACTGGTTGTGTTTAATCCATTCTGTTATGGAGGTATCAAATAACTAAAGCACTAAAGAAAATTGGTTTCTCTTTGCACTAAATCCCTGTCTGCTGTTATGGATCTGGGTAATGCAGCATTAGTTACAATTTAAATATGCTACATTGTGTTCATATTATGCTCCTGCTGCATTCCCAAGATTTATGAAGAATTAAATACTGCTGTGAGTACAAACACTTTGCCTCCTTTCTCTGAGAAGAAAAAAGGAAATAATAAGAGATTAAAGAAAAACATCCCCTAATTTTGGTTCCTATAACAGGCAACTCCTGTGGACTTGGAGTTGCTAAGTGGTGGAGCAATGCACTTATTTAGAACATTAAGGTATTGGAAAACTCACATGGATATTGATTTAGGTGATGCAGCAGCCAGCTAAAATACCCTTTTAGTAAGAAGTATAAACACACTGGAATAAATAACAATGTTAAATTATGCTTTTTCAGTTTGCTAAAATTTCTCTGTGGGACAGTGATGTATTTTCACCCTTAAAAGCTGCATCTGTATTTGTGGTGCTGCGTGAGAAATGATGTTTGGTGAATGAAAACACCTTGGGCTGGGGGTCAGGAGGTGGCTGGATGTGGCTCTGCCCTATTGAATTATTCCCTGTTCCTTTAGAATGCACAGGATTTACAGCATTTCCCTCTTTGGCAGGAAAACACAAAGTACAGGGAGTTTTCTGTTTGTAACCTTGCTGTTACACATTTTGTTTCTGCATTTTTTATTGAAACAAATTGATTGCTGAGTGATCTTTAGGGTACAAAAGCAAATTTGCTCTCTTGCCTGTAAATATCAAGGTGACAAATATTTTTAAATGTCTTTTGAATCCCTATTTTACCCAAAATCATGGGGAAGTTTCCTTGTTTTAAAAAGAATAAAAATAATTAAATGAAAATAAAATGCAAAATTATTATTTCTAAAATATTTTAAGTGCTAGTGTATTAATCAGGTAAATAAATCAGGGGTTTTATCAGCTGGAGATTTTGTTTCTAAAAATTATCTCCATATTTTAAAATATTGTTTTTTAGAGCAAAGTGTGAGACCACCTGCAGCATTCAGCTCAGAAACATGGCCAGAGCTGTGAGCATCTGAAATGTTAAAATTAGATTTAATTAAAGACAGTGCTCCTTTTTAAAATATTTGGGTTTCAGTTGAAAAATACATCTTAAACATGAACATGGCTTTTGAAATACTTCAGTTTGTTCTGGTAACAGTGCAGAGCTGTGGGATGGAATGGTTCATAACACAGAAACATGGAAATTTCTGAGTGTCTGGCCTTGGAGCTGCTCCTGCAAACCAGGCAGAAAACAGGGATTAAGGAGTGAAAAGAGCAGTTTGTTTTGCACCATAATTCAGGTTAACCCTGCAGGGCCCTGGCAGTTTTGTATTCCTGTCTCCTAAAAGCAGCAATTGCAGGATTTGGGGTTGGGATTGAAATTCTGCAGATTTTACTGTGAGAAGAGGGAAATAATTGTGATTTAGTGTTTGTATTTTGAAATGTTTCAGGTCACAATTGATGAGATAACTTCCAAATTTGTGATTGTCTTTGTTTAATTCAATTATTGTGCTGTGGCTTTTTATGGCAGCCTCACTGAAAGTGGAAAATACTCCCTGGGCAGTGTCTGCTGGTGCAGCTTTCCCACTTCATTCCTCATGACTTTTTTCTATTGATGTTTTTCTCCTCCCAATTAGGTGATTTGACTGAAGATCCAAAATTCCCTAAAGTTCAGTGGCCAACTCCAGACATTTGTCCTGCATGTCACGAAGAAATCAAAGGGCTGCACAGCTGGAATGAAGACCAAGTCCTGCAATTCCTGAAGTCCCACTACAGCAGTGAAAATATTCTCTATAAATACACCGAGAGCCAGACTGACCCCAGTGACAACGAGCAGGGAGACACCAGGGAGGTGAAAGACAAAAACCTGCTGAAGAACTCGGGGGGAAATGGAGAAAATGAGCTCCAGGATAAGGAAAACCCAGTCGATCCAGGCTCCAGGGGGTTAGAGAAGCCACTGGGAAATCCTGGAGCTGTCCAAGGTAGCGGCAAAAGCGCAGCTGCATCCGTGAACCTCAAAGGGAGCAGGCAGGCTGTGTCCTTCCTAGGGATTGGATTTTCCAACCTAGACATGAGTCTGTGTGTCATCCTCTATGTGGCTTCATCCTTGTTTTTAATGATCATGTACTTTTTTTTCCGGATGAGATCCAAGCGCTGGAAAGTGAAGTATTACCGTTCCTCGGTGTAGGAGTTCTCGCTGTACGTGGCTGTTGGGTCCCACACACAGCTTTAATATTTATGATCAGGGATTTTATATGCAGTATTCCTTGTTTCAGACCCCTTTCTTCCCGAGGCATTTCCCAGGTGTTCAGGTGAACAGGTGGAGGTGGCCTTGAGATCCCCAGGCTTTGCCCAAGGCCACGTCAACGTCCTCACACGGGAGGGTTGCATTTGGCAGTTAAGATTTTTCCATGACTTCTCACCAACATCCTTTACTCATTTCCAGAGTAAACATTGCATTATGCAATCCACTGTGCCTGCTGGAGAAGGAAATTGGATATTGTTTTGTGTATTTTCAAGTCAGGTGTCATTTTTTTTCTCAATTCATCCAGAGCCGATTTCACTTCCCCGAGTGCTGAACGGTTCCTCTGAACGGTACCTTGGCTGCTTCACTGGGAGAAGCAGGAATTCTGATGGTGTTTTTTTCAGGAAACAAGAGTTCTCTTCTGATTAAATCAATTCTAAGCCTCTGTGACTTTCTGAAATATTATTTACATATTTAAATCAGGAAGCATTCCATGTTCAAATCATTCATCCATTCTCTGGTGCATTCCAGCCAAGGATATGTGTGTGTCATCACTAGAATGAGAGTTTTGGGGTACAATTAGCAGCCTGATTCTGATTGCTAAGTAATTATGGTGATATCCATGTGGAAACCAATCCTGATGAACTCTAGGAAAGGAAAACAATGTTTTTAGTCAAGGACATCAAGATTTGTGTTACCATGGCAGAACAGATTGGAAAATCTGCAGCTACTGAGTTTCTTCTGTTGAATTTCTCCATCACAAGAGAGCAATTAACACTTCCCTTGGTGTTTCCAGCTCCATGATGGCTGAGGCCCAGAGCTGCCCAATTCTGGGATGTGGCAGTTCCCTCTGCAGGTCAGTGTGGGGTCCTTGGAGCAGCAGTGAAAAGAAACCATGAAAACATTACAAAATCATCCTTGGGAGTAGGAGTTGCTGTGATCCTGGCTGGGGGGGATAATTCACGTCCTGGATAGTGAAGTTTATAATCCTATCCAATGTAATTGAGCATGTTCTAGTTATCCATTACCTAATCTTTAGTTAATCCTAATAGGTTTTGGCCTCAATGTTTTCTCATGGCAGTGAGTTCTCCAGATTAATTATGTTATATAAAAAGGCTTTTCCTTTCAATTCTACATTTGCAACTTTTAATTTAATTGAATGTTTGCTGGCTCCTCTGTTACCCGAGAAGGAATGAGGAGTCCCTAGCCAATTCCCTGGATTTATACCATTTATACCATTGATGTGTCCTCCTCTGATTTCCCTCAGAAGCCCCAGCATAGAAAGTTTGAAGCCTAGCAAGAAAAAAGCACAAAAACTCCACAGGGTTATTTTTTTTCATAATCAAATGTTGGCTATTCACAAAACCGAGAATTTTTGATGTGTCTCTGCAGCATCCAATAGGAATAACAAAATTGAGCTGCAAAGACTCACTGTCCATGGTTATTTATCAAATTAACACCCACATAGAGGAACAACTTTCTGGGGTTGCTGTGAATGTGTCAGAGGAAGAAATCTCTGTTCCCTTTGTCCTGTTAGTCCATTCCATGCAGAGGGGATGGGTCTGTGCTCGTTGAGGACCCTCAGAATTCCAGAGTTCTGGCACAAGGAGCCATCCTGGGTCTTTAGGAATTTATGATTCCCATCTTTAGAGCAGCTGGGCTTGGATTCTCAAACACCCTGTAAGCACAAGAGTGATCCAGCCTCATCAGGGCCCTTTGCTTTGGGCTGGAGTCCAGTGACAGACCCCAGGGCAAGGCTCATTCAGAGGAAAACCTGGAGATTTCACATTGAGTTTTGAAAATCTGATAACTTTGGGGTGGCCTGATCTGGGCAAGTGTCCTCAGCCCACCAGCAAGGACACTCAGCTTGACAAGAAAATGCAAACATCAGGAAAACCTCACCCAGCACAGCAATGTTGGATCCGGGAAATTGGGCCAGTTAATTCCTGCACATTAATTATTGCACATTCTCAAGTTGAAATTCAGTCATTACAGCTGTTGTTTAGAATTCTAACAAATACATAGACCTGGTTTCCTGAGCTTTGACTCATTCTGTTGATTTTCATCTGTACATGAAAGCAAAAAGCCTTGGATTTTTGTAGGGATGATTTTGCCATTAAAAAATGGCAAATGTGGGTTTGGAATAAAGTTTGGGGCTTTTGTTACACACATTTAATTTCCACATTGCTGTGACCCTGCAACAAAATGAATCAGTTCTCGAACTTCAGTGGCTTTTTTGGTCTGTTCAGAGGATAAAGGTATGAAATTAATGAAATTAGGATGTTCCTTGTCCATGCAAAGCTGGTGCTTTAGCAAGGTGCTTTAGCTCTTGCCAGTGAACCAGCCAAGGCTTTACACTTCAATGTTCTCATCTGGGAAGGTTTTCTTGACTTTGAATTCACTTGAGTAAATCTTGATTTGCTTGGGTTTATTTTCTGACTTTCTAATGACAAATTATACCATTTTATGTAACAGTACAGTCTGTGGTGGCAGAAGGGTGATGCTGCCAGGAAAATGTTTCTGGTTTAAAAATTGCCTCCAAGCCTCACCTCCTCGATCTTGGAGGGTTTATTTGTGTGGTGTGTTGTCCACAGAGGTTCCTGCAATGTCATTTCCCAATTCCCAAATGTGGGAATTGTGCTGTCTCTTGGCCCTTTGTAATTCATGGAGCTTTCTTTGCTCTCGGGATGTTTTCAAATAGGAAACATTAAAATAAAAGGAGTAGAATGTGCCAAGAGAGACAAAAGCTGCAAGTGCTAAAGAAACCTGATGAAGTTATTTGTGAGAACTCCTAATTTTCTGTTTCCAGCAGTGCATCCATCCTGCTGCTCCTGCCCAGAACTGGATGGGAACGAAGGTCCCAGGTGTGGTGTTGCACATGGGGTGTTGAAAATAGCAACGATACCATTTCAGTAATTTAAATGTTCTATTTATTTGAAGTCAATAACTTGATATTTCCAAGTCTGTTCTGGTTGGGTTGGGTTTTTACTGACTCATTCCTCTCTTGGAAGGAAAAGTGACTGTTTCGTACTAAATTGTAAATTAATGTGCTTGTTTAAAATAAACTGCAAATGTTTGGGCAAAGTGGATGTGTCTGGGCTCTTTACCTGTGTTTGTAAATTGTTTTGAGTTGAGCTTGATTGCCAGGACAACACATGAACATTTCCATGATAAACCAGATCCATCACCTTGGGGGGCTGTATTTTTAAGCCCAAACTTCTCAGGATCTGCTAAGAATCTGAACGAGGGGAGAGAAAATAAAGCAGGGAGAAAGAAATATTTGAGAGGGTTGGTTTTTATTAATGGTTGTTTTTTACTAATGGCAGAAGCCCAAGTGAGGAGGGCCATGGGCAGGTCTGGTGCAGGGGGGCACAGGAGGGGGAGCAGGGAGGGATCAGCACCGAGGCTTTTGGGGGTCCTGGATGTCACCACGGGGCTGGCAGGTGCCACTGCTAGTCCTGAGTGTGACACACAGCCCCTGTGACACACACAGCCCCTGTCCTGACTGAGTGGGACACAGCCCCTGTGACACACACAGCCCCTGTCCTGAGTGTGACACACAGCCCCTGTGACACACACAGCCCCTGTCCTGAGTGTGACACACAGCCCCTGTGACACACACACAGCCCCTGTCCCCTGTCCTGAGTGTGACACAGCCCCTGTGACACACACACAGCCCCTGTCCCCTGTCCTGAGTGGGACACAGCCCCTGTGACACACACAGCCCCTGTACTGAGTGTGACACAGCCCCTGTGACACACACACAGCCCCTGTCCCCTGTCCTGAGTGTGACACAGCCCCTGTGACACACACAGCCCCTGTCCCCTGTCCTGAGTGGGACACAGCCCCTGTCCCCTGCCCTCCCTCCTGCCCGGCCACAGCTGCCCCAGCCCTGCCCTGTGCCCGGGGGAGCCGGCTCCACCACACACGGGTTTGTTTAAAGCGCTTCTTTAGAGGCTCAGACTAAAAATCCACTTAAAAACCGAGCTTAAAAGGAACCGTGTGGGTCATCAGCTTCCCCCAGAAGATGCTCATGGCCCTGGGGAGGGCCAGGTGCTGGTGGCACCCGGTGTCACTGCAGCACGGCACCGGTCACCCGGGCAGGACCTGAACCCCAACTCCCGCCTGGCATTCCTGGTACTTTACCTGGGGACCCCAATCCCGGTCCCCAAAGTGTCTCCCTGCGTTTCCCAGCCACACGGGGCTGAGCTGTCCCCGGCCGGATGAACCATCCCAGGATGGCCCCGCAGGACCCGGAGCGGGGAGGGTGCTCCGGCACCCCGGGGTCGGGGGCTCGCTGGGCGCTCCACGGCCGCCCCCAGGAGCGGGCGAAAGTCCCGGTGCTGCCGTCGGCAGGAGCATATGCGAGTTTGGAGGCTCCCGCCCCTAAGCTGCTTTTATTAATTTGTAATCCCCTGCGAGCAGGAGGTAAAGGGATTCGGGGGATTAACGGGCTCACAGTAACAACCACAATTATCAGCTCCGGCTGCCTGCGGCAAGCGGTACGCACGGGGCTCTTCCCGGACAAACACGGCTGTGACCGCACACGCGGGACCTCGAGGTGCCCTGGAACGAAGAGAACACGAGCACAGGCTCCGGGCACGGGCACCCCACAGCTGCGAGCACAGGCAGACACCGCCCGGCCCCACCTG